ATGTCCTTCATAGTGGGCGTAGATCATCTTGAACGAACCACTTAAATTGTGTGTTGCTTGTATTGAGTTTTCTCTCTCTATTTTATTATCTATATTAATTACTAATCACTTAACTGGTGGTACATAAAATTAATTTGTGCATCATTAGGGTATATGTGTGACGCATTAAAACTTGTCCTTGGAAGAAAAAAAAACTTGAAATGACTGGTAATACTTCTTAATAATATAGGATAATGCTGCTTGTGTTGAGCTTCGTTGTCACTTTCAAGGTTCATTAAGCTGGCTATATGACAATGATAATGTCAACTATGGATCTAGTCTATGAGGTTTGAAAAATTACATCGAATTATATATTATTTGTCAAATAACTGTTACACATTCATGTTTTGTCTAAGTTGGATGTAAATTGTCTAACATTGTGCTCAAAAGGATTGGTCATAGATGGTGTGAAAAATAAATGTGCTTAGATCTATTGAAGGTCAGTGTTTTAGATTCAAATAATATTACTCTTTATAAAATTGATTACAAATTTTCCATCTCATTTGGGCAAAAAATGAATTGACATCACGACTTGATATTTAGGGGCTTAATAGGTCGCCCATTCTCCTCTTTAGAGATAGGGGTGATCCAACTAGTGCAATTTTTTTTAAAAGCAACAAGTCTTACATATACCGACAACTCTTTTTTTTAATACTAAAAGTGGAGTAGAAAAAGAATAGAGTTTCTTGTTTTTTAAACTTGCAAAAAGCATTAGAGATGCATTCTCCTCCATTTCACTTAAGCATTAGAGATGAATTCTCATTAGAGATGCTTTCTCGTCCATTTTACTATCTAACAATGAAGAGTGAAAAGGGGTAGTGTGCCTAGATCCATTGAAGGTCAAATTTTATAAAGTTGATAACGCTTTAGCAAATTTGACGACACAATCAAAATCATACATAATAAAAAATTGGCCATGTCTGAGCTTCAAATTATGCACAACCTCGGAGTTCTAGGATGGTGAGGTGGCCAACTCTTTTTGTATAACCAAATTTGAACAAACTTCACCCGATCCGAATTCGATAGATGCAATTAAAACGAGCAGTTTAAATGCGAATAATAAACAAGAAAAACAAGAGCGGGTCAGCGTTCAAGTAAGGGGAATAGAATGGCATTTGGGCATAATAGTGAGGAAATTTTCGTAAAACTAGGCAAGTTCAGGGGCTAATATGTAATTTCAGGAAGTTGAATTATGAGCAGATAATTAAGGTTTTAGTTAATTAACCCAACAGGCCAGCGAGATCTCGGGCCCAGCCCAGGCTACAAATGCAATCAATCCTAAAGATTTTGACACGTGGCATTAGACAAACTCCATCATCCATTTTTGTGGATTATTTTATAATTTTTGACATCTAATTATAAATTAAAAAATTGTGATTAATCCTAAATAAATTATAATTTTTGGGATCATCTTATAATTTTCGTGATTCAAGTTTTAGTTTTTATAGGGTTAAGTTACAATTTTTGGGGGTTTTGCCGTCGATCCTGACAATTTTAAAATTGATCATAAAATATTCAAATCTCTCTTCCCAACGAGAGCCCATTTCTCTTTTAATTCAGAAGACAGGGGNTTTCGTGATTCAAGTTTTAGTTTTTATAGGGTTAAGTTACAATTTTTGGGGGTTTTTCCGTCGATCCTGGCAATTTTAAAATTGATCATAAAATATTCAAATCTCTCTTCCCAACGAGAGCCCATTTCTCTTTTAATTCAGAAGACAGGTGTTGCATTCGGTTAGAAAGGCATGCGTTCCGGTTAAAAAAACTCAAACTCTAACCGATTTCATGAATAAATTGATATTTAAAATTTCATTGCTAGAAATTTCATTAGTAGCTATAATAGAATTTAATTTTATCATCCAAACTTGACCGAGGATAGTGGACCTTGAAANTCTAACCGATTTCATGAATAAATTGATATTTAAAATTTCATTGCTAGAAATTTCATGAGTAGCTATAATAGAATTTAATTTTATCATCCAAACTTGACCGAGGATAGTGGACCTTGAAATTAAAATTGATAGGAAGACTTAAATTTGAGTTCCATAGAGTAGACTCCAAATAAGAAGACTAAGGTGGTGTTTGATAAAAGTTAAACACTGAAAATTGAATGCTAAATTTTAAGTGTTGAATGTTGAATTTTTTAATTCGCAAACTATTTGGTATCAACTAAAATTTAAGTATTGAATTGAATCAAACTGTTTGATAAATATAAAGAGCTGAAATCTAANGACTAAGGTGGTGTTTGATAAAAGTTAAACACTGAAAATTGAATGCTAAATTTTAAATGTTGAATGTTGAATTTTTTAATTCGCAAACTATTTGGTATCAACTAAAATTTAAATATTAAATTGAATCAAACTGTTTGATAAATATAAAGAGTTGAAATCTGAAAATTATTATTATTGTAATTTTGTCATTCTTTTTTACTATCTCTCTATAACTACCTTATTCCTACTATCACCATCATTATAGTGGTAGTAGTGGTGGTGATGGCAATGATGATGATAACACTATGGTGGTGATGGTGGCAGCGATAGTGGAGGCCCAATGGTGGTGTTAGTGGTGACACAATGATGGTGGTGTCATAATAGTGGCAGTGGTGGCGATGGCACAATGGTAAAAGTGGCAACACAATGGTATTGGTGATGATGACACAATGGNTGGTGTTAGTGGTGACACAATGATGGTGGTGTCATAATAGTGGCAGTGGTGGCGATGACACAATGGTAAAAGTGGCAACACAATGGTATTGGTGATGGTGACACAATNTGGTGTCATAATAGTGGCAGTGGTGGCGATGGCACAATGGTAAAAGTGGCAACACAATGGTATTGGTGATGATGACACAATGGTGGTGGTGGTGGCAGTGGCACAATAGTAATGGTGTAGCGGTGATACAGTGGTGGTGGTGGTGATAGTGGCATAATGGTGGTGGTGGTAGTGTTGGCGGTGGTGGTGACGGCGGCAATANGTGATACAGTGGTGGTGGTGGTGATAGTGGCATAATGGTGGTGGTGGTAGTGTTGGTGGTGACGGCGGCAACANAGTGGTGGTGGTGGTGATAGTGGCATAATGGTGGTGGTGGTAGTGTTGGCGGTGGTGGTGACGGCGGCAATACAATGGTGGTGGTGGTGAATGATGGGTATTAAAAAGTTAATAGTGTAAAATGTATTTAGGGTATATTTGTTCATTATGAAAAATTAATAAAATTCTTACTGACTAACATTTTTGGCATTAAATGATAAGTAGGTGGTTTGCTACTTTAAATTTTAACTTATTTTTAAAAAATGCTTAAAATATTAAGTGGTATGAGTTTTAAGTTATTTAACGAATTTAATTCATTAAGTACTTAAAGTATTCAATTTTAAGTCTTAAGTGATATTATCAAACACCCCCTAAAGTGGTGTTTGATAAAATTGAAAACTGAAAGTTAAATTTTTTAATTCGTAAACTGTTTGGTATCAACTGAAATTTAAGTATTAAATTAAATCAAACTGTTTGACAAATACAAGGAGCTGAAGTCTAAAAATTATTATTATTTTAATTTTCCCCTTCTTTTTTTCTATCTCTCCATAACTTCTTTATTCCTACCACCATCACCATGATAGTGATGGTAGCAGCGATGGTGGTGGTGACGGCAACACAATAGTGGTGACGATAATAATGGTGGTATTGGTGNTTTGACAAATACAAGGAGCTGAAGTCTAAAAATTATTATTATTTTAATTTTCCCCTTCTTTTTTTCTATCTCTCCATAACTTCTTTATTCCTACCACCATCACCATGATGGTGGTGGTAGCAGCGATGGTGGTGGTGACGATAACACAATAGTGGTGACGATAATAATGGTGGTATTGGTGGTGGTGACGGGGGCACAATAATAGTAGTGGTAGTGGCAGAATGGTGGTGATAGTGGTGACACAATGATAGTGTTGGCAGTTACACAATGGTGGCGATAGTAGTAGTGGCAGCGATGACACAATGGTAGTGGTGTGGCAGGAATATACAAAATCCTTACTAACANTGGTGATAGTGGTGACACAATGATAGTGTTGGCAGTTACACAATGGTGGCGATAGTGGTAGTGGCAGCGATGACACAATGGTAGTAGCGTGACAGCGACACAATAATAGTGATAGTGGCTATAGCAGTGGCATGATGGTGGTGGTGGAGACGGCAAACACAATGGTGGTGGTGGTGATGATGGTGGGTATTAAAAAATTAAGAGTTTAAAATGTATTAAGGATATAATTATTCATTATGAGGAATATACAAAATCCTTACTGACTAATANTGGTGGCGATAGTAGTAGTGGCAGCGATGACACAATGGTAGTGGTGTGGCAGGAATATACAAAATCCTTACTAACATTTTCAACATTAAGTGATAAGTAAGTGACTTATTACTTAAAATTTTAGCCTATTTTTAAAAAATGCTTAAAATAAACTATTTTCAAATGGCTCCATTGAAAGAAACTTTTTTACTACGACACTATTCGGCCACCCTTGGGATAAAATATTGGTAGGTCAGGTGCAGCTATTTGCCAATACGGCAATGATGNATTCGGCCACCCTTGGGATAAAATATTGGTAGGTCAGGTGCAGCTATTTGCCAATAAATACAAATATTAAGGTAGAGTGTTGGTGCGTTTGCTAGTTTGAAAGTTCAAAACGGCAATGACGNTTTTAAAAAATGCTTAAAATAAACTATTTTCAAATGGCTCCATTGAAAGAAACTTTTTTACTACGACACTATTCGGCCACCCTTGGGATAAAATATTGGTAGGTCAGGTGCAGCTATTTGCCAATACGGCAATGATGAATCAATGTTGAGCATATGTATAATTTATGGACAACAAATTAGATTAGTCTATATGTATATGTATGTATAGGAGGCAAACTTTGGTTGCACCACATTATACCGTTGTGTTGGACCATAAAATTTGAGTTCTCTTTGATCTTTCCGCACTAAAAAAAAGTGCAATCAACAATAAAACTACATATATTGTTATTCCACAAACCTGTGATTTGCCCGGATACCCCTGACTGTAATACTCCCAAAAAATAAAGGTCAAAACATGGCATTGTAAATGGCCCGTCTATGCTAAAAATGCTTTCTTCATCCTGATTTACAGATTCTAAGAAGAGCAAGAAGGGAAGTAACCTGAATACACTGTATTGCGAACATCAGTGTAACGAAAAGTCGAAAACTCATATTTGCTGGTTCTGTTGTAGCATCTTCAACTATCTGGGGGACATAACATGTGTCATACGAAATGATTCAAACCGGGGCTCAGTTAAGTCCACTGCTTCATCATCTCCAGAACGGCAACTTCTAGCATTTGAAGATAAGAGGGTCAATCTGTCTGTATACTCAGAAGAAACAGCATCTGATTCTTTCCCATTCTGCACAACACAGAGAGTACGGTCAATATTTGACTGCAATGAAGATCGCGGTGACCATTTATTGGATGAGATTCGCCTTAGGTCCTCAACATCAATAGGATCCTGAATTAGTTTGTCAGACCTCTCCATCACTATTTCACTTTTCGTGCAACGACTTGACGAGCTCTGCAACACAGATATAAAGATGGATTCAGAAGGTGAATTGGATGAGACAATCCTTTAAATCCCAGAAAGAACAATCAGTAAATGGAATGATTTATACTTTTTACTAAAAAGTCTCACATAAAATGGGAAAAACAAAAAAGGCAGCCAGTGGAGGGTGCTAGAAAGGAAAAAAGGGATACCAATGAAATGAGGAATGGCTATGCTGGCCAAGAAATAGATATAGAAAGATGCTCGAACAGGAGGAAGAAAGGTTGCATTTAGATCCAAATTTTGTGTTTTTGTTTATAAATGCAATTACTGTTTGCTCATATTTGAACACAATTATTGGTCGAGTTATTTTTCCGGTCATAACCTTCTTTACGACCAAAATCAGGTGAGTAACAATTCCTGATGATCCAAGGAAGGCAAAAAGGGGAAGATATGTGCTTGAGAAAATCATGGTACAGAGTTAATAAATGCCTTGACACAAATTACTAGGTGAAATATTCACACCTGAAGCAGTTTTACTGGGGTGTATCTCCTTTTCGATCTTTCTGATGCAATAGTTGAAAGGATTTGAACAACCTCACTCATGGTTGGTCGAGAATCAGGATCCAACAACAGGCACTCCTTTGCCAAGTAAGCCATTATCTGCATCTCTTCTTCTGGGAAATTTCCTTTCAGATTCGGATCAGGCAACTCCAAAATTACTCGCCCACTATCCTGCAAACGAGGTGTAGCCTGCATAGGATGGACAATTACACTAAACTTAATATATTCACTAAATATTATGAAAAAATATATAGGGGGGGCCAGAAAATAAGTGGAACAAAATGGGCTCGAGATTTTGGTAGTGGGAATACAGCATACTCATAAGAACACAAGGTTTGCAATCAAACAAAGATGATTACGATGACAAGGAAAATGCTGATCATGATAACTGTTAATAACCTGAAGATGACTTCCAAGCATCAACCACTAACTGATCAACTCAGTATTTGAGCTGTAAGTTAAGATATTACGTCATGGAAGTTACAGAAGCTCTACGGTTATAAGATGCTCCAACTAAATGATTTATCAAGCTCTACAATGGTGAGAGGGTCCAACTAAAGTTTTTATCAAGTGAAGATACCTAACGGCAATGTAAAAAGAATCATAAAAGTCCTCCCATTTTGAGAAAAATCAAAATCGGGGCAGTTTAATTATTTGCATGCCAAAAGAACACAAAGAAAACAAATGAATGAATAAACAAAAAAATACGTATGAATCACTATACCCATATGACAAGGCTCTCTTCCCCATTGTTGGCTGTCTTACGGATGGGTTGCCGGCCACTAATTAGCTCAAGAAGAACTACCCCAAAACTGAAAACATCTGACTTCAGAGAAGCTCTTCCAATAATTGCATATTCAGGTGCAAAATAGCCAAATGTCCCCTGCATTCTTACAGGAGAACTGGAACTACTGGGTAGGCCATCAGTTGTTAAATGTTTAGCCATACCAAGATCAGTAATCTGCAAAGGTGTAAAGAACCATGAGCAACATGTGTATGTGTGTGTGTGTGTGTGTTTGTGTGTCTGAAACAGAAAACTGATCTTACTTTGCATCTGAAGTACAAAGATTTACTAAGCATAATTAGGCTCAACTCCAGATGCAACCAACCAGCTGAGAATTAGCAAGAGAATTCATAGAACTCTGAATCTATTTTCCTTTATGGCTGAAGTTTGAAGATTTATCAGGCCTTGTCTTGGTTGGGTTCACAATCTACATANAATTTTCTTTTGTGGCTGAAGTTTGAAGATTTATCAGGCCTTGTCTTGGTTGGGTTCACAATCTACATAGGTTTTTTAACATTATTTTTCTGGTATTTAAGATTTTCAGATAAGTTTTTGTTTTACCTTGGCAGTCCAGTTCTCATCCAAAAGAATGTTTGTAGATTTGACATCTCTATGCAAGATTCTCGGAGCAGCTGCTTCATGGAGATATTCCAGGCCCCTTGCAGCTCCAAGTGCAATTGCAACCCGAGCACCCCAGTCCAGGCATATGCCTGAGGCCCCATTCAGACACTCTCTCAGATTACCTTTGGTCATGTACTGAAATACTAGCAGCCTCTCAACTTGTTTTCCTTGGTACTCTGAGCAGTAGCCAAGCAAAGGTACCACATTACAATGATGGAGTCTTGATATCACTTCAATCTGAGTAAGAAAACAGGTTGTAAGACTCGAGTGTTGCACAATATTTACCAATTTGTCATTGCTATCAAGATGTCCAGAAACAAGATGCAGCTCTTTAGTCAATAACACATTCATTTGTGAGCAACAAATTGATAGTATTAGCAATTAGAGATACTACCTCTGTCAAAAATAGAGATTCTGCATCTGGCCCTCCCTGAGCTTTTATTCTCTTGATTGCCACAGTTCCACCATCTTTAAGATGGCCACAGTAAACGTGGCTGCTTCCCCCAGCTCCTATCAAAGTAGAGTCAGAGAACTTATACGTTGCATTTTCCAAATCAGAATATGAAAACTGTATAATTGTTCCAGGCATTGTTCTTGCTTTGCTTCTGAATGAGAAAGAAGCCTTGTGAATGCACCCTGCAGGGGAAAGAGAAAAAAGAAGAAGAAAATAAGCTTAACAGTGATGCGAAGAACCAGAGCCAGGAATGATCAAATATAATTACAACAATAGGCAATGGCTGTGTACATTCCAAGATTGTGGAATCCATTACACTGAAATGAACAGGCAATACCTAGCTGATAAACTTACTTCTAATACAAGACATCAACAAAAGTTTCAGTTCAACCGCCAAAGAAAACAAAGGTCTAATGCTTGAGATCAATTGAAAAGATGGAGTTTACCTGAGATAGGATTGACTGGGGAACCTAAATAGATTTTGTAGTCCGACACTGAAGAAAATCTATGGCTTATTAGGTTGGTAGAACTGTTGCATCTGGTATCTTTTTCTGGTGAGAATAGAGGCCGTTGAGTAGGACATTCGTCCCTCTGATAGAAATAACATACTACCGAAGCAATGAATGCAAGAGTTGCTAGTATTACACATAGTAGGAGAATGGGCAGAACAACTTTGCTGGAAATACGCTTGTTCGAAGATTGCGACCCACTTGAAGATCNTGTCCTTCCGATAGAAATAACATACTACCGAAGCAATGAATGCAAGAGTTGCTAGTATTACACATANCGTCCCTCTGATAGAAATAACATACTACCGAAGCAATGAATGCAAGAGTTGCTAGTATTACACATAGTAGGAGAATGGGCAGAACAACTTTGCTGGAAATACGCTTGTTCGAAGATTGCGACCCACTTGAAGATCCTGAGGAGAAGCAAATGGAATAGCACACAAGTAAGCCTCAGAACTTCTCAACCTCAAATCTGTTAAATGACTTCTCCTAACATTTGATATATAATGCTTGCACATTCGTGTGCACCAGTTGCACGTAAATGCAAATATTGAACAAAGATGGATATGACCAGTGAGTATGGACAAACAAAAAATCTGAGCAATCAAATTGAATTCTGTGATGCAGAGGTGTCTCCTTGTTTTCAGTCAAATGCATAGAGTTTCTGAACCATCATAAAAACAACAGAGGCCCAGACGTAAATACATATATTGAACAAAGATGGTTATGACCAGCGAGCATGGACGAATAAAAAATCTGAGCAATCAAATTGAATTTTGTGATGCAGAGTATATCTCCTTGTTTTCAGTCAAATGCATAGAGTTTATGAACCATCATAAAAACAACAAAGACCCAGTTTGTGTTGAAGCTTATCACACCGAATATAAAGCTTCCAGATAACCAGTCAAACCACTTTCAATATTTTTAGTAAAAGACATCCTTACAGTGAGATCAATTGACCCCACTGAACTCTATGAGCAGCCATCCCTATAAAGAACATGCTGTTTAAGGAACAGTAAAAGACATGCTATTATTCTTAGCATTTTAAACCACAAAATATGAGTCACTTAGAGAACAAAACATTATATATCATTAATAAATAGTAAACTATACTAAAACTGTTGATCAGTACCACTTTGATGAGGCCAGAAGAAATTCATACCTGAATTACAATTGCAGGTCGTGAAACAGTTTGTATCATTACTATCAGCAGCCAATTTAGGGAATCCATCAGCAGCACAAATGCATATCCATTTGTTTCCATTTGATCCTCCTGCAGCTACAATTGAGGCCAATGCAGTTTCAAAAATAAAATTACACCCCTCAGCAATTAGTAAGTTATAGATGCCTACATACACATATATGTATATTGCTGTGGATTTTTACTACTGAAGAATCTTCTGACCTAATATGTGTTCTGCCAACTTTAAATTTCAAGAAATGGAGCAATAATATACTTTACTATTAGTAAATAGAAAACATTACAGAATTTTTGGTCCTCAGGTGTAAGTTCTGTCTATATGCCATACGTATGGAGCTTTAGTGTCATGCATTTTTTGAGTCCATCTGTCATTGTTCAGTAACCAGGTTGCAGCTCAGATTTCATTTAAGGATAAGACTACAATGACTTTTTTGAATCACATTTTAATTTCTTGAGGGTCAAGTTATGATTAAAAAAAAAGTTAGAATCAATCCTAAAATTTTAGGACTGATCTCAAAAAACCCATTTTGATATAACACCGCGGATTGAGTTTTAACCTCACCCCTTAGTTTGTAGCTATTTCGATATGATACCCGAAAAAAAAGAAATTTCGGTACCGTAGCCTTACCCTTCATTTACAAACAGTATCTTTACCTAATTCAATAAAACTTCATAAAGGTGATATGCTTGGCAGTGTGAAGTGTTTAGATGATTATATCATATTAGCTAATAACAATTTTGATAGAAAGGCAGCGTAACTAACGATTAAACAAGTACGATCAGTACTGTACCAAGACTGCAATCACAGGATGAAGAACAATTAGTCGAGATAGCAAAGCTCTGGTTCCCTTGATATGCAGAAGAACAGGTACATGTCCACTTGTTTGTGCTAGATGTAGTAAAAGGTTCATCTGCAACGATTAAGCAATCAATCTTCTTTCTACCTATGTAGATTTTTCCACGTTATAGAGATGCAGATTTCTTAAGCTTCAGAAACCAATTAATTTTGTTAAGGGGATCTACTGTATCTTCATATTACCAATAATTCTCCAAGTAGATTCCTCCCTCGGCTAAATTACACTCCACAGGAAGTGGGCCAAAAATATTGCAAAATATGGCAGCAGCAGTGTGGCTTGAACTTGACTGTGATGTGATAAATGAGTACAGGTCAAGGTCTTATACATTTGCAAAGAGAGTTGATGCTTACCGCAAAGAATTTCTTGAGTCCAGATTAAGCAAATAATGCATAAAAGGGCAATTCCCAGTTGAAGCTTCATTTATCCCTGTCCAACATTATACTGCAAGTAAATAGGAAGCCTGTCACATGACTCGCATCAATTTCCTAATTTCAGAATATGAAATTTTGTGTGAGTATTAGAAAAACGAACCAAAACCACCTTTAAAATTCAATTGCCAGTAAGTGAGATAGTTCTTTTCTACATTTTCACTATGAGCAGCAAAATATTTGAATACTATAAGCAATTATATCAACATCCTTTGTTCCTGAATAAAGTGGTACTCGAACAGACTTGCTATATCACATTCGTTAGAGAACAATTGAAATAATAGAAAGTGAAACTCCTCCTTAAGTAATACTTTTCTGAAGAAATGCATGCAAGCCTCAATAGCTTAGTTGTTGGGAGTCCATGGAGCCATCTTGATTATCTCTAAGGAGATAGAGGGAGGGGGGCTGAGGGGAGGGAGAGAGAGAGAGAGAGAGCATAAACCTTCATAAGAAAGAGGATGTCCACTCATGGATGCTCTTCATGATAAATCTTCCAATCTGCACAAAGCTAATAGCAACTTAAAACACAGTTTAACAAATAATAATTCATGGTGACAGAGAAGAAAAGGCTTATATTTACACATGAGGAAAAGAAAATAAAGTTTAAAACATACACATAAATTGACGTTTCCAGTTATATAGAACCTTTTTATTTGTAGCACGCAACAAAATTAGATGCACAACCATAAAGGACTCCACAAATCGGAGAATCAGTAACTGGTTGTCCACATTGTAAATTCATGTGGACCTTAAATTCCAACCACCAAGTTGTGGGTTCAAGGGCTGGTAGAGAGAGACATTTTCAGTGGATGAAATTCACATAAAATAAGCCGATGCCTTCTCTTCCAAAAAGTTAAATGGACTATGACAATGACTAAGTTTTTGGAACACATTAATAGATCATACATTGTCAAAACAAACACAGAAAATTAGACAAACATACATAGGGTAGGTCAGGTAGGAATAGAAAACATATAGTTGGCCAACAAACTTATGTATGATTGAAGTCCACTCAATCTACATTTTGAATTTTTGAATAATATTATCACTTAAATGCTTATCTTACATTCTCTCCATAAGTTTAAACTTTTGAGAGTAATTTAACCTAATATGTTAACATAAAGGTATTAGACATTGCCCACTCAAAAAAAAATAAAAATTGTTCAACTGACAGCCATATTGGATCAAATTGTTCAGTCCTAATAGCATTACTCATTTTTTCCAGTCTTACACAGAAANGAGAGTAATTTAACCTAATATGTTAACATAAAGGTATTAGACATTGCCCACTCAAAAAAAAATAAAAAATTGTTCAACTGACAGCCATATTGGATCAAATTGTTCAGTCCTAATAGCATTACTCATTTTTTCCAGTCTTACACAGAAATCTACTTCATTACTTGAAACCCTGTAAAAGCATCAACACAGATTCCCAGAGCTGGTAACTTTGATTTTATGATATGCCCTCTTTCTGAGCCAAGAAAAAGAAGGCATGCTTGAGTGAAACAGAGAAGCAAAAACAGTACCGTTCAAGAACTGGGAAACTACATCAGCAATGAAAATTTGTGTCAAATTTAATTGAATAATACTCGATGGCTATAGTCCTAACCAATTAGCAATAGGCCTTTAATCCAATATTACTCCTTATCATGAAGGATTCAAGTCCGCCCCCCTTTTCCTTCCTAAAAAAAAAAAGAAAAAGAAAAAAGACCTACCCAATTTATCCGCAAATCTTTCAAAGTGAGACAAGGGAGATGACATGAAAGTAAAGCAGTCCCAGGGAGTATAATNTCAATTAGCAATAGGCCTTTAATTCAATATTACTCCTTATCATGAAGGATTCAAGTCCGCCCCCCTTTCCCTTCCTAAAAAAAAAAAAGAAAAAGAAAAAAAACCTACCCAATTTATCCGCAAATCTTTTCAAAGTGAGACAAGGGAGATGACATGAAAGTAAAGCAGTCCCAGGGAGTATAATGGACGTGTTTTCAGAGTTCCACACACCCATCATCAGACATCTGGTAGCAAATAATCCAGACAGAGACATGCGGCTTTTCTGTGTATATTNATGGACGTGTTTTCAGAGTTCCACACACCCATCATCAGACATCTGGTAGCAAATAATCCAGACAGAGACATGCGGCTTTTCTGTGTATATTCAAAACGGGAGTGCTAGATTACAATATTATCATCCACCTCTCTGTCTATCTGAAGGCAATCCTTCCGCAAATCCAAAAGAGACCCACCACCAACCACCTAAAGAACTAGCATACCCATAATTGTGAATATGTGATTCTGTTTATTAGTTCAAGCAATTGTAGGCTATTAATTATTTCTTCACTTATATTTATGTGGAAAAAGAAAAAGTATTTTGAATTTTTAAAAGGATTTATACACGACGGTTAAGTATTCTTCGCTTAAGAGACATGTTTATTGTGAAGATTGATGACTGTATCTCGACAGCCACCCGCATACAGACTTCGAAAAACGAGGTAGGTGACGTTTGAAGAAGGCTCCAACGTATTTGGTACACCGGCCCCACCCACTGGTGTAGTTTGTTGGGCCTGGACACAAAAGCCCGCGCTGTGAGTTGCAGCGTGGGCCCTGATGGAAAACATAGCCGTAGATTAAGTTAATCCATGGGACAATCAGGACCTTGCATTAACGTGACAGTTAGGGATTTTCATACGAAAAATCTGGCATTACACTTGTTGGAAGAAGCAGTGAAGCACTGGGCTCGTATTATTCTTGAGACTCAGCTCAAAAAAAAACTCTGATCAAACCCCCCATCATCTAGCTTTGACAAATGGGGAGAGGAAAAAAGAAACAGAATGTAAAATTGAGGAAGATGATGAACCAGCGCATAATGTATTTACAAGATCATCCTTTTCATCCAATTAAAGATAACATGCCACGTCACAGGTTGAAAGGACTCCACTTCCGACTCCGAGGAGCAAAATACGGTATTAAAATACTCGGGAGAAATGAAAGCGATAATTAATCGCACAGAAAATCAAAAAATGGGTACCTGTTTAACAAAGTTCACTCGAGAAATCAGGGTTTCAATCTCTGCGACTGTACCTACAGCACTGCAGTATCGTCCATCCCTCTGATTAAATGAACTATTTCAACTTCAAAAGAACAATCCGAAGGCTCATTCAAATCGTAACAGTTCCTAGTCACTTTTGCTTTNGTAAATACATATATTGAACAAAGATGGTTATGACCAGCGAGCATGGACGAATAAAAAATCTGAGCAATCAAATTGAATTTTGTGATGCAGAGTATATCTCCTTGTTTTCAGTCAAATGCATAGAGTTTATGAACCATCATAAAAACAACAAAGACCCAGTTTGTGTTGAAGCTTATCACACCGAATATAAAGCTTCCAGATAACCAGTCAAACCACTTTCAATATTTTTAGTAAAAGACATCCTTACAGTGAGATCAATTGACCCCACTGAACTCTATGAGCAGCCATCCCTATAAAGAACATGCTGTTTAAGGAACAGTAAAAGACATGCTATTATTCTTAGCATTTTAAACCACAAAATATGAGTCACTTAGAGAACAAAACATTATATATCATTAATAAATAGTAAACTATACTAAAACTGTTGATCAGTACCACTTTGATGAGGCCAGAAGAAATTCATACCTGAATTACAATTGCAGGTCGTGAAACAGTTTGTATCATTACTATCAGCAGCCAATTTAGGGAATCCATCAGCAGCACAAATGCATATCCATTTGTTTCCATTTGATCCTCCTGCAGCTACAATTGAGGCCAATGCAGTTTCAAAAATAAAATTACACCCCTCAGCAATTAGTAAGTTATAGATGCCTACATACACATATATGTATATTGCTGTGGATTTTTACTACTGAAGAATCTTCTGACCTAATATGTGTTCTGCCAACTTTAAATTTCAAGAAATGGAGCAATAATATACTTTACTATTAGTAAATAGAAAACATTACAGAATTTTTGGTCCTCAGGTGTAAGTTCTGTCTATATGCCATACGTATGGAGCTTTAGTGTCATGCATTTTTTGAGTCCATCTGTCATTGTTCAGTAACCAGGTTGCAGCTCAGATTTCATTTAAGGATAAGACTACAATGACTTTTTTGAATCACATTTTAATTTCTTGAGGGTCAAGTTATGATTAAAAAAAAAGTTAGAATCAATCCTAAAATTTTAGGACTGATCTCAAAAAACCCATTTTGATATAACACCGCGGATTGAGTTTTAACCTCACCCCTTAGTTTGTAGCTATTTCGATATGATACCCGAAAAAAAAGAAATTTCGGTACCGTAGCCTTACCCTTCATTTACAAACAGTATCTTTACCTAATTCAATAAAACTTCATAAAGGTGATATGCTTGGCAGTGTGAAGTGTTTAGATGATTATATCATATTAGCTAATAACAATTTTGATAGAAAGGCAGCGTAACTAACGATTAAACAAGTACGATCAGTACTGTACCAAGACTGCAATCACAGGATGAAGAACAATTAGTCGAGATAGCAAAGCTCTGGTTCCCTTGATATGCAGAAGAACAGGTACATGTCCACTTGTTTGTGCTAGATGTAGTAAAAGGTTCATCTGCAACGATTAAGCAATCAATCTTCTTTCTACCTATGTAGATTTTTCCACGTTATAGACATGCAGATTTCTTAAGCTTCAGAAACCAATTAATTTTGTTAAGGGGATCTACTGTATCTTCATATTACCAAAAATTCTCCAAGTAGATTCCTCCCTCAGCTAAATTACACTCCACAGGAAGTGGGCCAAAAATATTGCAAAATATGGCAGCAGCANGTAAAAGGTTCATCTGCAACGATTAAGCAATCAATCTTCTTTCTAACTATGTAGATTTTTCCACGTTATAGAGATGCAGATTTCTTAAGCTTCAGAAACCAATTAATTTTTTTAAGGGGATCTACTGTATCTTCATATTACCAATAATTCTCCAAGTAGATTCCTCCCTCGGCTAAATTACACTCCACAGGAAGTGGGCCAAAAATATTGCAAAATATGGCAGCAGCAGTGTGGCTTGAACTTGACTGTGATGTGATAAATGAGTACAGGTCAAGGTCTTATACATTTGCAAAGAGAGTTGATGCTTACCGCAAAGAATTTCTTGAGTCCAGATTAAGCAAATAATGCATAAAAGGGCAATTCCCAGTTGAAGCTTCATTTATCCCTGTCCAACATTATACTGCAAGTAAATAGGAAGCCTGTCACATGACTCGCATCAATTTCCTAATTTCAGAATATGAAATTTTGTGTGAGTATTAGAAAAACGAACCAAAACCACCTTNTGTCCAACATTATACTGCAAGTAAATAGGAAGCCTGTCACATGACTCGCATCAATTTCTTAATTTCAGAATATGAAATTTTGTGTGAGTATTAGAAAAACGAACCAAAACCACCTTTAAAATTCAATTGCCAGTAAGTGAGATAGTTCTTTTCTACATTTTCACTATGAGCAGCAAAATATTTGAATACTATAAGCAATTATATCAACATCCTTTGTTCCTGAATAAAGTGGTACTCGAACAGACTTGCTATATCACATTCGTTAGAGAACAATTGAAATAATAGAAAGTGAAACTCCTCCTTAAGTAATACTTTTCTGAAGAAATGCATGCAAGCCTCAATAGCTTAGTTGTTGGGAGTCCATGGAGCCATCTTGATTATCTCTAAGGAGATAGAGGGAGGGGGGCTGAGGGGAGGGAGAGAGAGAGAGAGAGAGCATAAACCTTCATAAGAAAGAGGATGTCCACTCATGGATGCTCTTCATGATAAATCTTCCAATCTGCACAAAGCTAATAGCAACTTAAAACACAGTTTAACAAATAATAATTCATGGTGACAGAGAAGAAAAGGCTTATATTTACACATGAGGAAAAGAAAATAAAGTTTAAAACATACACATAAATTGACGTTTCCAGTTATATAGAACCTTTTTATTTGTAGCACGCAACAAAATTAGATGCACAACCATAAAGGACTCCACAAATCGGAGAATCAGTAACTGGTTGTCCACATTGTAAATTCATGTGGACCTTAAATTCCAACCACCAAGTTGTGGGTTCAAGGGCTGGTAGAGAGAGACATTTTCAGTGGATGAAATTCACATAAAATAAGCCGATGCCTTCTCTTCCAAAAAGTTAAATGGACTATGACAATGACTAAGTTTTTGGAACACATTAATAGATCATACATTGTCAAAACAAACACAGAAAATTAGACAAACATACATAGGGTAGGTCAGGTAGGAATAGAAAACATATAGTTGGCCAACAAACTTATGTATGATTGAAGTCCACTCAATCTACATTTTGAATTTTTGAATAATATTATCACTTAAATGCTTATCTTACATTCTCTCCATAAGTTTAAACTTTTGAGAGTAATTTAACCTAATATGTTAACATAAAGGTATTAGACATTGCCCACTCAAAAAAAAATAAAAAANGTGAGTTGCAGCGTGGGCCCTGATGGAAAACATAGCCGTAGATTAAGTTAATCCATGGGACAATCAGGACCTTGCATTAACGTGACAGTTAGGGATTTTCATACGAAAAATCTGGCATTACACTTGTTGGAAGAAGCAGTGAAGCACTGGGCTCGTATTATTCTTGAGACTCAGCTCAAAAAAAAACTCTGATCAAACCCCCCATCATCTAGCTTTGACAAATGGGGAGAGGAAAAAAGAAACAGAATGTAAAATTGAGGAAGATGATGAACCAGCGCATAATGTATTTACAAGATCATCCTTTTCATCCAATTAAAGATAACATGCCACGTCACAGGTTGAAAGGACTCCACTTCCGACTCCGAGGAGCAAAATACGGTATTAAAATACTCGGGAGAAATGAAAGCGATAATTAATCGCACAGAAAATCAAAAAATGGGTACCTGTTTAACAAAGTTCACTCGAGAAATCAGGGTTTCAATCTCTGCGACTGTACCTACAGCACTGCAGTATCGTCCATCCCTCTGATTAAATGAACTATTTCAACTTCAAAAGAACAATCCGAAGGCTCATTCAAATCGTAACAGTTCCTAGTCACTTTTGCTTCAAATTGAGCTCAGCCTCAGACAGAAATTAAGAATTTGAGCTCTAGTAGATCTATTAGTGAGCTCGAATCGAAAACAGAGCCAGAAACGAAAGGAAGAGAATGAAACTGAGCTAAATCATATCAGCGAAGAAAAGCTTTAGAGGAATTTCTAAGGAAATGGAAGTTATAGGTAGCAAAATTTGTCACAAACACCACGGAGTGAGAGCGAAAAGTGACTGTGTGTGTTGACTGTTAAGTCTGACTAGAAATTGTGAAAGCGAGCTCCGATCGATGATAGACATTCATGATCATATTCACCATCCTCAGCCACACTCCACAGGAGAGAGAGTGAGGGAGTTTTTTTTTTTTCGTTAAGAGAGAGAGAGTTGTTATGCACAGATGTTGATGCTTCTTTCACAATCCACGGTGTAATGTGGGTCCCAATATTGTCCTTACTTTTATCCTTTCTTTATTGAGTTCAGTAGTCAAAGAAAGATTACACTGCGTGGCATTCTCCTGCACAAACACACAACAAAACGAAACTGTCATGCTCGGCTCCGGGTAGGTAACACCGGGTAAGCCTGTTACCTACAACCAGAGCCGTCTGATCAGATTTGAATTTATTTTCGATTGAGCCGAATTTAAATTTGTTTAAAATACTTGGGTTTAATTCTCAATTTATAAAAATACAGTAATGGTCAAAATTAATCTAATTTTCATCTACTTTGATCAAATGATAAAAAATTCATCAAAAAAAAAAATTTCCTACTCATAGATCTTTTTTTTTGTACGGTCCCCATCGTCAAACTACTCGACAAATACACTTCTCAATATCCAGTAACACCACTAAAAATTAAAAGGGGTACCTTAAGTAGTAACAGAGACGAGTTGTAAATTAAAACTTCTTAAGTTAAAATCTTAGTAACCTCTTGGCGCTAGACAATGAGGGATTTATTCTTATAAATACCCTAGTCCTGTCGTGGATAACCTGCTTTTGATCAGACTGAAGAGAAAATTAATCGAAGTATACGCAAGTTGATCTGGACATCCTTAACTATTAAACCCCGAAAAAAAAAAAACCACCATCACTAAAGCACAACACGAGCATTGTTCAATTTTTAATATTGCAAAACGTCTTTAGACACAAAATTATTGTTAGTTACTCGATGTATTTTATTTTCACTGTTTGTGTTTCAGTATATTAAAGTTTTAAAAAATTTAATCTCATTGGAAAAATTAAATCAAACTTAACCGTAACAAATTGGATTTAATTTTTAAACTCAACTTTATCAAATAATGATTTAATATATATATATATATATACTAGCGATATTTTGTGACTACAGTTACTGTACACTGAATTACTATATTATGCATGCATTAGAATGTGTGTTGGAGTGTGTGTGTATGTGCAACTGTGCATTGTGAAGTGTGTGTTGAGTTTTTAAAATTTGGGGAAAAAGTGTGTGTTAGATGTGTTAAATTTTGGAAAAAAAATATACCCTCCATAAATTCAAACACTTATTTGATATATATATATATATATATATATATATATAAGTTATTGCCTGTACATGAAGACACAGAGTAGTAAAAAATGGTAAACAATAAACACATTTATATTCATATTCAAAATCAAGTCACAAATATAGAGAAAAGATAAATGAATTTAAATATTGGTTTGTAGCGAGGGTGAGAGGTGATGGTCGGCAATGGTGGTGGTAGTAAACAATGACAGTTGTGGTGGGTGGCAATAACCGTGGTGGCGGGGACAACGATGGTGGTGGTGACAGTGGTAGTGGCGATAGTGGTGGGGGTGGCGGTGATGGTGACGGTGATGGTGGGGATGGTGGTGGCGACGGTGGTGATGGTGGTGGAGGCGGCGACGATTGAGATGGTGGCGATAGTGGTAGTGGTGGCGATGGCGGGGACAGTGGTCGTGGTGGTGGTGGTGACGACGGCGACGGTGGTGGTGCAAGCAACTGCGGTGGTAGCGGCGGCGACGGTGGTGGTGGTGGAACAATTTCAAACACTATTTTTTTTAAAGTATTTATAAGAAATAATTTTTAAAAAGTTATTTCAAACATACCCTTAGGGGTCTATTTTTTCTATTAAATTTAGGGTGTTAATATTAGTTGTTATATTAACTTTAAAAGTAAAATTTAAAGCGATCTCAACCGCGAAAAATAAAAGTCATTTGGTTATCTTTTGAGATTTGAATTATAAGTTATTTTATTATATAGATATAATTTACATCAAATTATAATCAAATCAGACACTTTTATTTCTATTTCTAGATTACCCCATGATTTTTAGTTTGGCGCCATCAACAATTGGTGTTATAAAGTTTGAAGATTAAAGTATAATGAAGCTTTTCTTTTGTTCTATATATATATATATATAAATTACATCGAATTATAATCAAATTGGACACTTTTATTTCTAGATTACCACATGATTTTTAGTTTGGCGCCATCAACAATTGATATTATAAAGTTTGAAGATTAAAGTATAATGAAGCTTTTCTTTTGTTCCCCAAAACCACCTTTGCCGTATTTTTCTTTCTTTTTTTGTTTTTATCGAGAATGTAAACTATTATTTAATCAAAGTATTCAGCCCATTTAGCTAAAAATTCAAGGGAAAAAAGTAAAGCAAGTTCATGTATGAGATTTTGGACCACTTCACTTTCTTTTATAGATATGCGTGTGTTTGAGCAAGTATCTTAATGGATTGAATTTTAAATTGATTTAAATCAGAATTATAGTTAAAAGTTTTAGTTTAATTTGGTATAAATATTCGATCAATTTTGCCTTTTCTATATTTGCATTGAAATTTGTAAAAAATCGAAAACTTTAAACAACTTCAGTAAAAGAAAAACATTATTTAAAAAAAAAAACACATACTAAATTAATTATTGAACTCATTGTTACACCAAAATCTGTATAACCATTTACCAATTACCAACTCAAAGTAGAACAAACTATACTCCAATTCAACTTTAGCACATTAGAACCAAACTTAAACAACAAATCAACTAAGAATTGGGCTTTATATAAGAATTGCTAACATTTGGAAATGTTTTTGATCAAGTGATGCTTGAAGAATAAAATTTGGTCTATAGCAAGTAGATAGCTCTCTTTCACTATAAGAAGTTAACAACAGAATCATGAGCATTTAAATAACTCAAGTCATCCACACACACTAAAACAAACTAAATATTCAATATCCAGATCTTAATTGTTTGCGTTTTGACGACACCTTTGCAAGTATTATCTTTTCCATCAAAACTGAATTCATGCGGGTTCGGATTGAATTCGGGTTACAAATCAGATAAAAAAATTACACAACTCAATCATAACACATTCCTGTTAAATTTTTCATTAAAATATTCAATCCGATTAGTATTATAAAAATAAAATGATTAATATAGTATGCCCAGAAAATCATATATAATTTTTTCCCCACTAGCCCAAGAATCATATGTACACCAACAAAAGTTCATCATTGAATAGTGTATTATCAAAAGCAAAGCAAAGAAAACACAGTAGTTTCTTCTTGTTAATTAGAAACAATGATTCCAACTAAGAAGATTGAATCTTGAACACTACGAATCACCAAGAATTTCGTTGCTCTGTATGGAAAAAAGTATAGTCGTCATCCGGCAAATATATGACAATAATGAAACAAAGGAAAGCAAGATCTTGTACCAAAGAAGACAGGATTGTCCTCATATGTACTTCCATCTGCTTCAAAGAACTCCTCAAGGGGGTGACGTCCTGTGGCTGTAGAAGTGGCAGCAACTGTAGATATTTCTAATTTCAGTACAGCCACGAGTGTCCTCCCAAAAACTCTTGCCTCAAACATGATGGCCAATAAATTGCTACACAACGATTACTAAAAAAAAAAAGAATATTAAGAGAATTATTAAATACGAATTTGCCAATATGAAATCCTAGTCAAACACACTCCTATACAATGTCCAAAAGATATGAGTGATAGTTACTAAAATTAAATTCTTGCAAAACGTAGTAATGGGAGGAATTCTTACCAGAAAGCATTATCACTAACTCAATGAGGGAAGTATTTTGTCAAACAGTTAGCATACAACAAAAATACTAACATGCCGGAATGCACGTCGCCACCTCCAAGAAATTACCTTGCTTGTTACGAGAATGACACCACCTCAATGGAATTGTCTTGCTTGTTACGAGAATAGTACCACCTCCACCAAATTGCATCACTTGTTACGAAAATGGTGTCTCAATCTGTTAAGAGATGCTTATAAATTATAAATTCGACTTACACAAGGGGGTCATTATTTACATCTAAGGACTCTACACTTTTTAAGTAATAAAACGATCAGACCACCGTAGCCTTTCACAATAGAGTAGATCACCTTGAACGAACTACTTAATTTGTGTTTGCTTGTGTTGAGTCTCCTTTTTAATTACTGCATTAAATATCTTGACAGGTAGTGCATTAACACATTTTGTGCATCATCAAGTGACATTATACTATCAATATCATGTGATGTCATCAACTAATTATCAAATAACAAATAAGATTAATAAACCCCATTGTACCAACATGATCGTTATTATTTATAGTTATTAAAACAACAAAGTTCATTAAGTCTATTAATATTCTATCACTGATTGTTAACATCACGTGATATTAATAACGTAAGTGTCATCGTTACACCTAATCTTTTCTCCTTCTCTTGCTTCTCCCACAATTCTGCACCCAATGCAATGCAAAACTGATTTTTAGCTTTTCCTGGTTGATCAGGATGGATCTTAATATTTTGTGGTTCATCGTAACTTTGACTATGATGGAGTCCAACTTATTTGATGGGACACTTATGNCACCACCTCAATGGAATTGTCTTGCTTGTTACGAGAATAGTACCACCTCCACCAAATTGCATCACTTGTTACGAAAATGGTGTCTCAATCTGTTAAGAGATGCTTATAAATTATAAATTCGACTTACACAAGGGGGTCATTATTTACATCTAAGGACTCTACACTTTTTAAGTAATAAAACGATCAGACCACCGTAGCCTTTCACAATAGAGTAGATCACCTTGAACGAACTACTTAATTTGTGTTTGCTTGTGTTGAGTCTCCTTTTTAATTACTGCATTAAATATCTTGACAGGTAGTGCATTAACACATTTTGTGCATCATCAAGTGACATTATACTATCAATATCATGTGATGTCATCAACTAATTATCAAATAACAAATAAGATTAATAAACCCCATTGTACCAACATGATCGTTATTATTTATAGTTATTAAAACAACAAAGTTCATTAAGTCTATTAATATTCTATCACTGATTGTTAACATCACGTGATATTAATAACGTAAGTGTCATCGTTACACCTAATCTTTTCTCCTTCTCTTGCTTCTCCCACAATTCTGCACCCAATGCAATGCAAAACTGATTTTTAGCTTTTCCTGGTTGATCAGGATGGATCTTAATATTTTGTGGTTCATCGTAACTTTGACTATGATGGAGTCCAACTTATTTGATGGGACACTTATGAGAAGGAGTTGGATGGCTAACACGTGTCCTCGGCACCAATGATACACTTTGGTTTTAACAAGAACACGTGTTCTCGACACCGATGACACGTCTTTTGCCCTAATAAAAACATGTGCACCGGCTCCGAAGGCGTTTGTTGCTTTGCCAAGTACTTGTGCTCGGCTCTAAGGGTACCTCCCCTCCGGAGAGTCATATGTCCTCAGCTCCAAGGGAACTCACTGAAACTTTGATCTCACCACGTGTCTTCAGCCTCTGGAGCATAGTTTTAAAACCCGGCCCGGACATCAACCCGGCAAAGGAACCGGGTCAATGGGTCACTGGTTTAACCGTTGAGTCACTGGTCGAACCGGTAAATGTAATAAAAAAATAATTATAAATACTAATAAATTTGCTAAAAAATCACAAAAAATCATGAAAATAACCTCAACCATATAATGTTAAAATCATCAAACATGTGTCCAATACATTCAATTTCCAATACAATTTATAAATTCAGTAGAGAAAAATACGTCTATTTCGGTTCAAGTCTCCAATTCTAACTCCAATTCTCCTACTGTGCATCAATCTAAGTATAATTCATGTAATTTGTACTCTTCAAAGTTCAAAATCAATCAATGTATAAAAATAAAAACTTAATTCAATGTGTAAAATATAACATTATTAACCAAAAATTCAATGTATATTTCAATATTTCACATAAAATATAAACCAAAAATTAGATATAGCAGAGAGAAAGAGAGAGAGAATATGTACTTGCTGAACAATATGAACAAAGAGGGAGACTTGTTTGAGAAAAGCTTCTTGTGAGATTTGGCATTCCAATCAAACAACTGAAGAAACCCTCCCTCTAAACCTCGTTTCTCAACATCCATTTTCTCATCTACAACCCAAATTCACTCCCAACACCTACAAGGACACACCAAAAAACACAATCAAACGAAACCCATTTGTTGTTTAGCACCAGATATAGTCATGCTTTAATAGTCAATAAGCTTTGGCTTTTCTTCCACTTTGATCAAGATTGAGATTGCGAGAATGAGAGAGTAAGAGACTGTATGTGTGTGTGAGTGAGTGAGAGAGAAAGAGATTTACATTGAAGATGGCTATGATGTTAACGTCCACCATCGCGAAGACCAAGAGGCAGAGGCGTAGAGGACTCCAGGAGGTAGAGGCACAGAGGACTCCAAGAGGCAAAGCTAAAGAAGAGAGGTAGTTGTTGCAGAGGCGAATACTATTTAGGGCAAAATGCTAAAAAAGGGAAAAACTCAGCTATTTATACTAAATTAAATGAGCCATCCGGTTTGATTTATCTCGGCCGGGTTGAACAGTTCAGCAGTTTTTTATCCGATTCAATGGGTTTATTCCGGGTCTAATGCACAAATGGTCTGATTGTTGAACTGGACCGGTTTAGGCACTGGTTCATCGATTTATCGAGTCAACCCGTCGGGCCGGATCGGGTTTTAAAACGCTGTTTAGAGAGACTAGTGACTAACAACTAGACAGCCTAAGCTAGACTAAGAATTATAAGAACAATCTGCACAATAGAGTCAGTATGGTAGAACGAGCTCGACACCCAATGAAGGAGAGTCAGACGCGTGGCATAAAGTACAAGATGGAGGGTAAAAAGACGGATATCCCCTTGCTGATTTATTGTTGTCTCGGGCAAGCATTTAATGAATTATCAAGTGATGTGATATCCACAGTGGCTGGGGAAGTCGATGATATGTGGTATTAAATGCCCTGAATTCCTAGCATTTAAAGTGTTGACATCGAAGAAAGAAGAATAACTGTTCGGAAGCCTGAGTAATTAATACTGGGACATTCTCCATGTAAATTAGGAGGCACACTCTCCCATTGCTAGACTCTACCTACTGACTAGATCATTTGTAATGATGGGTCTTTGAGGATATAAATAGTCCCTAAAAACATATTATAAAGGTACACATATTCACCTCTTAAGAGCAATAGAGTATTTATTTCTTTTTATCCCTCAAAAAATTGATTTGATCGTTGAAAATGATATGTCGAAAAATACTATGACACCCTTCTAACTTGTTTTTCTATATGCCAGGATCACCTTGCGATCCAAAGAGACCGGTTGAGCATTCCTTTGGAAAATTCATCACCATTCCTTTGGGTGGGCTAAATTATGAAACTGAAAAGTAATTTAATAGACAAGTGTTATTTAGACAAAAAAATGTTGATATTTTTTATTGACTCTCTCCATCACAATTATCGAATAAATAGTGGGTTCTAATAAATATTAAAATTTATATTTAAATCAATGATAATGATGTTGAAAGTCAACAAATGTTGTCAATATTTTTTGTCCAAGTAGCACTGTTCAATTTTATGAGAGTAATGATATTGCGATCTAAAAAATTGATCTTATTTACTGACATAATAATGTATAAAATAATAGAAGTGGAGTTTTATTGAAAAGATCTAAAAGTTATAATCACAATAATATTATTAGACTTTGTCAGTACCACATCATTAGTTCAAAAAATTAAATTAATTTTTAGGTTGCAATATCATTAATTAATTTTATAACACCACATTTTTCCAATTATCAAAAAAAATATTTAATTTTATTATTTTTCATGATTAATTGTTATAAAATGACTCAACCGAGTATTTATGACCCAACCTTTTTTTTTTCTTCAATATGATGCAAATTTATATAAATAATGTTATTCTATGAAAACTCACGTCACACGTGCAACTCTATTTGGACCCCAAAAATGAGACCAAACGTGTCATGATCCTCACCCTTTATTTCACCTAATGATGATGATCAAATGGTCATGAAACCTTCTTTTTTAGCTATCATCCCTTAAGCTTCCAACTCAACACTCTTTGAGACTTTGACTCTATATATAATATAACAACAATGCCTGGTGAACCACCCTCATCAACTTCATTGCATTCCCATACTCTCTCTCTCTCTCTCTCTCTCTCTCTCTCTCTCTCTCTAAATTTCATCAAGGCACAGAAACCCACGAGTCCACAACAGTTTCAGTGCTTTCTTCATCTTTGTCACCAACCCTTGTTCTTGCATTCTTGGGATTTTAATATCAAAACAATGGAGTTTCAGTTTCAACATGAAAATGGGAATGGTCGTGCTTCGGCTGATGATAGTTTCTGCAAAATGAAAGATCCATTGAATTGGGGTTTGGTGGCGGAGTCGCTGAAGGGTAGCCATTTTGATGAAGTGAAGCGAATGGTTGGTGAGTTCCGAAAGCCGGTTGTTCGACTAGGGGGTGAGACACTGACCATATCACAGGTGGCAGCGGTGGCGGCCGGCGGTG